TATATTATCTATTGTAATAAAACTAAAAAAATTAAATAAGTGGTTTAAGTCATTCTAATAAAAAACATGAATTTTACAACCAAAACTCATGTTATATTATGATATTTATTGATTTTTTAAGTATAATGCTAATTATGATTTTTTTTAAAAAATTAATTTTTGATTTTTTAAGAAAAATTAATTTTTGATTTTTGATTTTATTTTAATAAAATATTATAATATAACATGAATTTTGATTATAAAATTTAAAATATTTAATATTTTATTTTTGATTGAAATATTTTTAGTTAAAATTTTTTAGTTTAAATATAACATTTTAAATTTGAAGAGTTTAAATATTATATATTTATAAAATATAGGGAATTTGCATGTAATTTATTAACGAACATATAAACAGACGTTAATGACAGATATATAAGTGTTACGAGCGTAAGAAATTTAGAAAATTTATATATAATATTTTAAATATCAGAGTTTTGCGATTAAATGACAAACTTTATAAGCCTGAGTGTAATTCTGCCTAGAATTAAGTTGGTAAGAAAAAATTGATAAAAAATTGCATCCTGCAAAATAGTTTTATTTGTTGATCCAACCATACTACACAAGATTTAGGTTAACTTGGCTGAAATCGTCCCTCTCTCTCACTAACACACACACTCACAAATCTTCTATGAAGTTATATGGCAAATCATCTGCTTCGTGGCCTCCGTAAACGTTCTGTGTTTTCACTCCTCAAGTCATCTTCTTCCAATTGTCTCTGTTTAAGGTATTCTCTCCCCCCAGTTTCTCTACAATTGTTTTCAATCCTTTATCTCTCCATTTCAAAACCATTTTATTCTTCTTCCAGGTCCATCCTCCACAACACACAACCAATTTTCACTCTTTCCAGACCTATATTTCCATTAAAGCCGTCAAATTCATGGTGGTGTTCAGAAACTTCAGTCATGGTTCTGTTAACTTTGTGATATCCCAGGAAAACCAAAGTTACGAGACTCATGAAATCGAGCCTCCGAAGAAGGAGAAGTGGAAGACGAAGAAGAGGTTGAAGCTTCAAAGAAAGAAAGAAAAACAGCGAAGAAAAGCTGCCAATAAGAGAGACCCAACCCAAGAAGGATTGGTTTAAAGGGAGGAAGAAGAGGCAGAGGTTTGCAAATGCGGAGGAAAGAATTAAGTACAAACTTGAAAAGGTGAGCAAAATTGGATCTTTTCCGAGATACAAATGTATTTTTTGGGTAAAATGGTTTTATGTGTTTCCATAATTTCTTATTTATACGATGTCTGGGTTTTCTCGAATTAGGTGTAATTTATGATATTATCGTAATTACATGTTAATGTATTCCATCGGTTTTAGTATGATCACAATAGATGCATTAGGAAAATGACACCTTCATAATAGTTAATAGGTTGTTTCTGCTTTATCTGCAATAGAAAAGCTATTTATTCTCTACCCAGTTCTTCTTTTAATGCTTTGTTTGGACTTTGTCATTGGGGATTTGTTTTGTTTTTGAGAATCTGTGGCTGCTCTATACATTCTTTATTGTACATGTTTTGTAATAGTCTGCCCAATTGTATGCTTTGATTATGCAGTGTAATTCCTCCCAGACAATGGATTTACCTTTTGCAACTTGTGAGTTATGAAAATTGTTGCAGCGACCCTGGAAGTGCTTCTTGAACAATACTTTCATAGAAATGGTGAAATTTTTATTCACTTTTATAGAGAATTTATCTGTAAAATAGCATTTTTTAAAATGTAAGTGTTGGCTAATAAGCCAAATTACAAAGTGTCTTGGGTTAGAAAATATTTGTCCACTGGAATTTGGGAAATGCATATAGTCCTTAGGACAGTTTATCAGTTCATAGGAGGTCTATCCTAACCTAATTTCTTAGAGTTAAGAGAATATGTTAGGAAAAGAAAAGTACAAGTAAGCACTTTCATTTACAAACTATGGAGTCCTTGACTAACTATCTTAGGGTATTTGGGGAAGGACGTAGATTTTCTTGTATGGTCATTGTTGCATCTTGTTAACCATCTTTGTGCTGCCTCTGTCAAAAGCCAGTGGTTTGCTGAACAATAAAACTACAAGTTATAGAGGTGTGAAATAGGGTGATACACTTTTTCTCATTCTCTCTCAAATGTTTTTGGAGTGTCAAGGTATTGATCAGCAAGGCATTGGGAAATGGCAGTTCCGAACCCTTCCTTTCTTCCTTATGTGATATTTGTAGTAGACTCTAAGGACAATGTTTGATCTTAACCTCACAATCTAGGTCAATTACACTTTGATAGTGCTCTCCACCTGGTGGTTGGGACTTTGAAACATAAGCATAATGATCCATTGGTGATTGGGGTAAGTTGAAACTTGAGTAATTATATGTTAAAAAAAGAAAGAGAAGAAGAGGAGGATGAAACAATATTGTGTGTAGGGTATGTGTTGCCAATCCCTATTACCTATTTATATTATATTGATATTGAAGAACAATTACAATATTAGGAAAGTAGAACATTATAGAAAAAATCACATAATAGGAAAGTAGAATAATAAGAAAATAACACTTTAATGATCCCCCTCAAGTTGGAGCAAAGAAAAAAAAAAGTCCAACTTGGAATAAAGACTACTAAAGTTGGACCGCGCCAATGGTTTGATGAGAAAATTGCGGTGTTGACCGTAATATCTCCACGTAAACAATAAGGACTATGGTTGACTATTTCAAACCATTCAGGGATTTCTTTAATCAACATACACTATGACACTCCCTCTAAGCAATAGATCTAGGTTTTGCTCCATGTGAAGTCTAAGACATTTTGATTTTCTAAAGAAACAATTAACGGTCATACTAAAACAAGCAATAACAAACAACAGTCATGACAACGCAGAGGAAAAGAATACGGTGACAACAAACAAACACAACACCACAAGAACCAACAACAACAATACTGGCACAAACGAATACAACCAACAACACCATAATGAACAACATACAACAACAAATTAAACCGAAACAATCACAAATTGGTTAAATCAAGCAGAACCGCAATTGAATTAGCCAAAAAGAAGTTGAGTCAGTGTTAAAAATCACAAAGTCAATACTGAACTGCAATGAAAACTTCAATCGAAATTGAATCGAGAAGAAAATCACCACTGAACCAAAATTAATTAGGTTGAAAACACTAAACCGGATCAAAACCACTAAACAAGCATCAAACTGTGTCAAAAATAAATAAACGATACTAAACTGAGTTGAAAACATTGCACTAGAATTAAACAAAGATGAAAACCAATAAACTAGCATCAAACTGTGCTAAAAATATTAAGCCGGAATTAAACAAGATTGAAACATTAAACTTGAAATAAACTGGGATGAAAATCACTAAACCAACATTAAATTGTGCTGAAATGAAAACCTTGAACCAAACTTAAATTGGGATAAAAACAAGTAACATAGCACCAAACTAACTTGAAAATCACTGAACCAATACTATAAACTGGGCTAAAACAGTGAAACGAAATTGAACCAGATGAAAATTACTAAACAAGCAGTAAATTGGGCCGAAAATCATTGAACTGACACTAAACATGGTTAAAAACACTGAACCAAAATTGATTCGGGATAAAAACCATTACACTAACTCCAAATTAAGTCGAAAACCACTTAGCTGACACTAAGTCAGACTAAAAACATTGGACCAAACCTGATCGTGGCTGAAAACTACTAAACTAACACCAAACCAAATTGAAACACTAAATCCGCACCCATGATCAGACACCGAAGATACAAGCACAGGTTCAGGCACCCCAGTAGCCGATAATGATCACATTAGCCAATGAACAAATGCAGATGACTGGGACTTGATGTGTGTTGGGCAGACCCAAACACTAGGTGAGTGAGTTGATTGCCTAGAATTGGGCCCACTTACCCAAGTATTTTGTTATGATATGAAATTGAAAGTTGAATAATTGTATATTAGTGTTAGGGAAAAGAAAGAGAGTATGAAACTATATTGTGTGTAGGGTATGTGTTGCTAACACCCTATCACCTATTTATATTATATTGATATTGAAGGCAACTACTATATTAGGAAAGTAGAACATAATAGGACGGTAGAACAAGAGGAAAGTGACTTAATAGGATAGTAATATAATAGTAAGTAAAACATTAGGAAAGTAACACACTAACAAGGTAAATGGACGAGCATAATGTTGCAAGATCATAAAGATCAAACTGTTTGTTCCTTCTCAAAATCAGCTAGGGTGGGACAATATTATAAAGTTTGAACTTTTGTTTTTACCTGGGTGTGAAATGGCCTTTATCTTGATTTGCGAGGATTGTGATGATAATTCTATTAGTGGCTTCTTGGGATCAACTAAAGCAGGACTACAGGAAACTTTATGAATGTGTGTTGAAGTGAATCTGGCCTTTTATTGGCGGCTTAAGGAGTGGAAGTCCAAATTTTTAAAACATTTTAGCAGAGTGAGATTCTTTCTGTCAATATGGATTGGATTTAAATCAGTTGCATAGCCTTTGAGAAGTCTATCCAGATCTGTCACAAGGTCTGAGTATTTATTCCATTTTGTGGCCAGATTTATTTGGATTTTACTTTTAGCAGAATGTGATGCAATACCTTTGTAGGAGGGATGCTATTACTTGAAGTACGTCTTTGAAATTTCTACACCTAGCTTATTTTCAGTTATTTTTTGCGGGATTTTTGGTGTTTTGGCTTTTCCTAAATCTCTTAAAGAAGTCCTTGTTTGTTCTCTCTTTCTCTCTCCCCCCCCCCTCCCCTGTGGCTGCCCCTCCCTCATGTGGCTGCTCACTTGCTTGAAATGCTCCAGTTCCTCCACTAAATTTCATTTTTCACAGTAGCACGTTACAATTTTTCTCCATCACAGGATCACACAGGTATACTGGTTAATAGCCGACCTAAATTAACTCAATTTTGATTCTACAAACATTGAAGAGTAACAAAGTTGTTTTTCCATTTTTGTTTAAAAAAATTGTCCTCTGTTGATGTTGTCTAGTACGAACATGAGTCATTACACTTTTCAGATATATAGCAGAGATCTGATTCTCCATTGCAATTTCTCTAAGGATTTTGACGGCGGCTTTTTTTGTTGTTCCATTTAGGCAAAAATTAAAGAAGCATTACTGATTGAAAGACTCAAGCGCTATGAAGTTCCTAAACTTCAGGGGCCTGAGGTGAAACCACATAACCTAACTGGTGAGGAACGGTTCTACATGAAGAAGATGGCCCAGAAAGGGTCTAACTATGTACCAGTTGGCAGAAGAGGCATATTTGGTGGTGTAATACTGAATATGCATATGCATTGGAAGAAACATGAAACGGTTAAGGTCATCTGCAAGCCTTGTAAACCTGGTCAAGTACATGAGTATGCAAATGAAATTGCCAGATTAAGTGGTGGAATCCCAATCCAGATGATCGGAGATGACACTATAATCTTCTATCGAGGAAAGAATTATGTGCAGCCAGAAGTTATGTCGCCAATTGATACATTGTCCAAGAAAAGGGTGTGTTTCCAGAACCTGTGCCTCATATTTTCTTCTGTAGGTCTTTTAGTATATAGCCTAGGAATCTAGTATCTTTATCCTTATTAAATTGAAAAAGGTCCTCTTATATGCATCATTTGCAGCAGTGCTCAAAAGCTGTTTGATTCCAATTCGTCTCTGTGGGAAGGGACTGCTTTCGTTAAAGAACGTAGTAGCACGGCCCCTATTCCTCTTGGTTTTTAATTTCTGTTCAGTTTTGTCCTTTTTGGCTGTTTCACATGGAAAAGACGAATCTTGCAACTATCACCTACCAGACTTTTCCTGGTGAAATTTAACAACTTTCGAACTTTTTATGCAAGAAGGCAGCATAGCATGTCTAGAACTCTACTCTGTAATCTATCTAGGTGTGCACAGTTCGGGAGCAAAGATATAAAATTCCAGCACTTTCTTAAAATCTATGAATATATAGAATCTTTATAGGAAGTAAAAAGCTAGGGATTTCTCAAGTTGAAGGAACAGAACGCATATTTAGCGGTTTTTTCCCCATGTAAATTACTTACCACTTTGCATATTCTTGATGAACCAATGTAATATCATAGAGGTGTGTGTGCGTGTTTGTGTGTTGCATATATATGTGTTTCTGTGCTTTGTGTGTGCGCCTGCTTTGGGAGGGTTATTTGTTTATTTATTTATTGGTTTTATATTTTTTTGGAGGGGGGGGGGGGGGGGGGGGGGGGAGCTGTGAGTAGGTTTGTGGTGTGTGTATACATGTTATGGATGTTCAAGGCTTTAATGGGTTGAATGGAAATGGAGGTTTGGAAAGAGTGAATATTGGTTTTCTGTTGATGAGAAGAAGATGTGGAACTGGTGAAAAGAAAAATTGAAATGAATTATAGAGAGATTGAGAGAGTACTTTAAAGGGGGAGAATTGGAAGATGGCTTTAGAAGTGAAAACAAAGAATGTTGATGGAAGTTATGTGTGCGCGTGAGAGAGAGAGAGAGAGGTGGGGGAAGTTTTTATCTCCGAGTTTGGATATGTTTTGTTCTGTAGAAGGGCCACTGATATAATAGTGGATAGAGCATATATAGAAGACGAGCAAAGTGATTAGAAGTTCAGGGATAACATGAATGGGCTAGGAAAACCTTTCAAACTTATCTACTTATTTGTTTCATGTGTGGGGAAAGAAGTCAAATGTCAATGTAAACAGTCATGTTGTTGCCATGGCGATGCAATAAAAAAGAAGATGCAAAAATTCAAATCTTGTATTTTGTATATGACTAATAACTGTGGAAGTTTAATCTATTTATGTTTTGTTGGTTTTGTTGAGCTCCTAAATAGAATTCATGTACGGGTACTTTTGTAGTTTGACAAAAAACTACTAGCCATTGAGGTCCTTGTTGAAAGATTGATGTAGGAAGTGTCAATAAGCGTTCTCCTAATAGTTATGACAGTAAGACTGTTGGTCACTAGTTAATGCATTTTAGTAGGAATAATCATTTCTGATTCATGGCTTAAAATTAACGTAGAGCATGTGAATAAGGAAAGTCACAAATTGGGACAAGGAAGCATTCTTTGGGTCTCGTTTGACCAGTCTTAGGCCAGAGTCTATTATTTATGATGGCTTTAGTGTAGTAAGCTGGTATGGTTCTGTTTAGGTTTTTCAGCCTTTATCTGTCAAAGGATTTTAGCTTTCTTTGTATTCGTATAGAGACAAGTTGAGATTCGTCAACTATCAAGGAGTTCTATTAATTATTCTGGTTCTTATTATCTGAACTCAGATCTTTTGCTTCCCGTAGATGTTGATATCTAATCTTCCATAGAGAGATCATGATATGTTAATTACCTCTGAAATGAATTTACCATGTTTTCTGGGAATTTGTGAATCGAAGATGGAGGATTATAGTGTTTCACCAGCTTGAGGATGAGAACTGAGTTCAGGTGGAATGACTCAAATTCTCCATAATTCTTGTAAAGTTTGCTTGTAAACCCTCAGTCTAAGGTCCTTAAAGGTCAAATGGGTGAGAAGTAGTGCTGAAATTGGATGATGGATAAAAACTTGCTAACTGGTTGTCAAGGTGTAATTAAGCTCTTCATTTCATGCTTATCTAACCACCAAAAACAATCTACATCGGGGTTCTTGGTAATGGCAAGATTGTTGATATGGAATTAGTGCATGCTCAGCCCCCCGATTAGATTCATTTGATGCCAAGTTATTCTACATGAGTTCATATGAAATATAGCAAACGTGCATCGAGGAATTCCTCGTCTTGTAATTGCTCGCTTGGTTGTAATTGCAATGGTTAAAAGTAAAATGTATCGTATCACTTATTTTATTTGCCTGTCTTTACAGATATTTATATGAAGCCAAGTATGCATATTATTTGATGAGAGCAAAGAAGAAAAAGAATCGTTTAGTATGCTGATCTAATTGAATCCTTTTGTACTCATTTTTCTTCATGTACTTCAAGGCTTTACTACTATGGTATTCCCTCGAGTTTAGCCAACTTCATGTTATGTTATTTATTGCCAGGCACTGGAAAAATCGAAGTATGAGCAATCATTGGAGTCTGTGAGGCGCTTCATTGCCATTGCTGAGAAGGAACTTGAACTATATTACAGGCACATAGCACTTTATGGTGATCCAAATAATCGGAATCCTAACTCGATACTCGGCAGCCCAAGAAAAGGCTCTGATAAGCCAAAGAAAGTGGAACTGCTGCGGAAGAGACACTAGATTCAACTCTGGATGGAGTTTCCCCACTTCTTTCAGATGGAGAAACTGAATACACGGACGAAGAACTATCAGCAGCAGAATACAATTCCAATGACGAAGAATTGTCTGTAAGGGAATTAAATTATGAGGATGATCAGAGCGAAGATGAAAGAGAAGAAAGCTCTTCAAGCATGCAAGAGAACTTTACTATGCTGGGTTCACCATCCGTCTGTGGAAGTGGAGAGGATTTTGACAATCAGGAAATTGTAAGAGAAACAAGCTTTAAACATGAAATTTTAATTTAATTTAATTTATTTAACAAAATAATTTTTTGGGATTTTCTTATTTTTTTTCTTGCCCCTTTCGGCGTATTTTAATTTTTACTTATATAATCATTTCGATATGCTTGACTACGTAGTTATTTTATGCATCACCTAGCCATAAATAGGTGTGCAACTTGAGTTGAGCAACTCGATTTCAATCCGAAAAAATTAGGGCTTGGACAAGAGTTTTTAATATTTTGGTTGGGCCTGGATCAAAAAATTCTAATTTGAATTCAATTTGGATTGGACTCGGGTTAAAGCCTCAAGTTCACGGGTTCAATCCGAACTCGACAAATTAAAAAAAAATTATATATATATAAAGCATCAATACTGATTTTTTATTTTTGTTCTATCGTTCTCTGTCTCGTTCATTTTCATTTTTGTTCTAGCATTAACACTGTTAAAAATTTGGTTAAAATTATTGGTTGTTAATTTAGGTGAATATTATATAATATATGTATTAGGTTTAGAACAACAAGTCTATTTTGGGTTCTATCCGAACTCAATCCGAATTGAACTCGTAAAGTAACTCAAAATTAGTCCGAAATCATTAACTCGAATTCAATCCCAGTCCGCCCGAATTAAACTCGGGTAGTGTTCGAGTTGAGTTCCTTAACCCGAGGTAATGTTAGAGTTGAAGATTATATATCTAGAATTGGACTAAAGTTACTTTTAACTCGTCCATCTCGCTCGAGTTGCACCTTTAGCCATAAACATGGTTTTGTGTTTTTTTTTTTTTTTTTTTTTTTTGTTTTGTTCACTTTTCGCCAAAAGGGTAACAAAAGGGTGTTTGTTTATTGTTTTTTATCTTTTCCTTTTATCTTTTTTATTTTTTTGAAAACACAGCCTGTTTTTGAAATCAACAAAATTTGTTTATAAAAATAGCCAAAAATATAAACACGCTGCTCCATTAATATAAACGCTATATCACACCTCCCCCCAAATTGATGGAAACCCTTCCTTGTCTAGAGCTCATTGGCTCCAACGACGCCAACGGTTGACATCCAACAATTGCAAAGTCTCAACTTTGCATCTTAAAGGTTCCTTTTTCACCGCTATTTATAGATCTAGGGTTTGATAAGCATTAAGCATATCTAGGGTTTCTTCTTCACCTCTTTTTACTTTTGTTTGTTGTTGAGTCCATCTGTGTGTGTGGGTGTCTTTGTGTGTAGGAGTGAACATTGATGCTAAAGAAGGGAAATGGGAGCCTCTATCACGGTTAAGTTCCCTCGCGACTCTAATTTTTAGTATATGCGTTCCGAGAAGTGGGTGTGCTTCTGTGCATGTATGAATGTGTACGGGCGTCTATGTGTGTGTGCGTCTGGGTGTTACGTCCTTGTTTTCAAGGATTTTTTATGTTTCTAGAAGTGAAGGTTTTAACTAATATTTGGAAACAATGCAGGTTTGTATGGGTTTGCTGTTTGGTAACCATTTTGTTAACGTTATGTACATTCTCTAGAGATTTTGAGTTGAGGACTATTGAAGTTCATCTTTGAAGAGAGTTCATGCTTAAAACGAATTGTTTTAAAGCTGCCCACAATGTGTTTGATGTTTGGCCTCAAGGGACTTTGCATAATATTATGGGGATGTTCTAATTAGCAGAACAAGTGATGCGAGCCAAGCTAATGTAGTCCAACACACACAGTCCGAGACTAGCCAACTGAAGCACCCACACAAGGCCTCGTTGCAGACAATCCAAGGATCAACTCAGCGGTAGGGATGGCAGTGGACTGCAGGGGGAGTAGTGAGTCTCTATCACTGTACCCGCTCCAAAAATATTTGTCCATGCTAATTTTCGTCCATCCTCGGTTGGGGAAATTTTAATCCCCGTCCATATTCTCATTCCCATCCCACAGGTAAAATTTGATTCCTGTTCCGGTCTCCACCACTGTCCAGATTTAGCGGGCTGGGAATGAATGTCAGTCCATTTCTGTACGGATTTATACGGGTATCCTGATTAATATGTATGATCTATCTTGGTTCAAATGGGACAAGTTTAGACAAATACTCGTTTTTCTATCATCCCTATCCAGGGGGCCTAAAAATATGTTTAATGGTTAATGCAAAATGAATTATTGGATATTGGTAAAATTATTATTTCAAGAGATACAATTGTTTGTTTTGTGTCACATCAACTAATCAGAGATTACAAAATAGGCGGATATCCAAAAAAAATTTATTATAATATTTTTTTATTTTTTTGTGAGGACAACGGAAAAAAATTAGTAATTTGAAGGTGAAACTAAAAATTTTTGTATCTTTCAAGTGGCGAAATGTGATTTACACTTGGATTTTTATAACTTGTGGGATGATTTTGTTATTTAGAAGTGGTTGTTAAACAAGTTTTATGTTTTCATTTTCATAATTTCTCATAACTGAAGAAGTTTTATGTTTTACCTCTTAAACCAAAAAAAAAAAATTATATATTTACGAAACGACTCCTCAAGACTCTGAATGGTTGGCCACTCCTCAAGACTCTGAATGGTTGGCCATCTATGAGCAAAAGTTACAATTATTTTGTGTTACATCGATTTATTTTTTTTTATTTCTTTTCAGTTGGGTGGGTGCCCCGAGCGGGGGGAGGGGGAGTGATCACATTTTCATTTGACTTATGCCACCTAATATGGTAGTTGGTTGGGATAAAGTCCAAATCAATTTATTTTTCAAATACGTAATGGACACATTTCATATTATAATGACCAATTTGCTATTTACCCCACAGTTGTTCCTATCCGGGTAGCACTACTAAAGTTTGGAAGAGATGGGGTGACCACCGGGTAATTTTACAGCGACCACTAGGGTTTATATTTATATAGGGGTTGTAATTTTTTATGAGATGATGCAAGTTTGATATGATACTCACGACTTACGATTTAATATTTTTTTCATGAATCAACAAATAGTGCCACCATTTATCCAAAGAAACAAATGATACGATCAATTAACACAAATAATAATATACGAATAAAATAATTTTACTTGCACCTAATTTAGTCACCTAATGTATTGAGACTATTTGATTAATAGTAAATTTTATTTAATGTTAGGACGCACCGCTAATTCAATCCTCAAATTAGGATTCAAATTAAGTGCCAATAGTATTGATCATACAAATAACTCAATTTTGACATAGTAAATTCATGTAATTTGTATTGTATGAAAAAATATTCAATTTTTTTTTTCATAATTGTTGCTTCTTAATTAAGTATTGTTTGAATCCTTATTCAACTATATAGTTTGTGACTTAGTTTTGTTATCATACAGATCAAGTGAATTTTTAATTATGAGGATTTATGGGTGGTTGGTTTTATTAGGAGAGAAATGGATCGAATCTAAAAATTCCGGTTCACGAGTTATACGTGTCAATTTGAACACGACATAAGTTATAAAACCATTAGGCAAGTGTCAAGAAATTTTGGCATAATTAACTAAATGTCTTGGGTTAGGGTTAACATATTCATTATAAATTTGGTATCCAAAGTTGGGCATCAAACAAAATATTTGAAAGAAAAAGAATAAACTCACCGTACAATAATTATGTATCAAGGTATCTGTGGTCTTTATATGACCAGGGTACAAAACATCTGAAAATGAACAAAGTTGGCCAAGCCATCGTGAACCTATAAACCCTAATACCAACCCTTCTTCTCGACTTGATCTCTTCCCGATTCTGCGAAACAACTGCCATGGCCACTTCACGGAACCCTTTGAGAGACCTCTTCACCGTCTCCTTAAAAGTGTTATCTACGGAGAATTGGTAGCTATTTAAAAATGCTTGTCTTGCACGCAAATATTCACAACTCCGACGGTAGCCATAAGCCACTACATCTCCATCTCCATCTCCATCTCCATTTGTCGGTCGAAGGGTTTCACCGTGTTTTGTGACAGTCCAATTGGTAGCGACCATCAGACGAACTTTTGATTTTGGCGTTGCTAATTGATTTGTGAGAATGACAATTTTTCACCTAAAAAAGTGCGTATATATACTTGAGAAGAGACTGCGCTTTTCATTAAAGAAAAGGTTGGTGGTTGATCCATGCTGGAAAAAGTTTAAGAGTTGGTAGCTTTGTTACACCCAAGAAATATCTACCATAGTACCATGTGAAGGGTTTTAATATATCTCTTTCCCTTGCATACAGTTTTTAGGAATGTCTTTACTACAGTGTCTCCTAGGAGGCTAGGACCAGCAATTGTCAGCATGCGATACAAATTTTTTCGATGTTCGCTTATTGTTAACAAGTTTAGCTCATAATTAATTAGATGGGTCTTACTCACATAATAAATTAAAGGAACTTTTGGAAGCTGGTAGACGAAATTAGATTTTATTGTCAAAAAATACATAAAAAAAAATGTTTTATAAAAAAATCCACTTAACACATAAGAAGACTTGAATACCCTTTTATTTTATTGTAAATAAGTTTCCTAAACAAATATTTTTGGAAAAAAATCCCACATATATATTTTTTTCTAATAAAATAAAAACTTAAAATTTAAGAAAATGAAAACCCATAATAAATCCTCTTCGTTTTTAGAGACATGTTTCAAAGTTTTTGAAAACTTTTGAAATTTGGCAACTAAAATTAAAGAATTTTAATTATCTTATCTTAGAAAGTACTAAAATCAAAGAATTTTGATTTTAGATTTAATTTGATCAAATATATATATATATATATATATATATATATATATATATAGAGAGAGAGAGAGAGAGAGAGAGAGAGAGAGAGAGAGAGAGTAATGTGATCATGAAAGTTTCACACTAAAACCTTAGGTGAGTACTTCTTATGCAAGTCATTAGATCGAGATCTAACGGTCATTAATAAAAAACCAAAAACTAATTATCAAAGCCTACCAAGTTTAGATATTTATCAAATAGGAAGTTTCAATTACACATTAATTGAGATTTTAATCTTACTAGGAAAGTGTATTTTTTTCAAATTTACAAACAAAAAAAATAGGTTTTTGACTCATAAATTTGACCCAAGCTAAGTTGTTACATCATGATTCGTGCTCTAACTTTCACACCCATGTACACATATGCTCATCTACAACCACCAATGCCTTTTGAATAGCTAACTTGGGCACTTGATTATTTACTGGTTAAATCTGCTAGAAAACTTTAGGTTAATAATGGTGCGTTAAAGGCTTTGATGATGTGCTTCTCGGCTAAGAGTCCAAAGTAGTTTTGATAGGTATTTTTAGCAAACTAAAGAGATAGAAAGCATTTATACAAAGATCGATCCATGATGACACAATTAATACGTTTTAATGTTCTTCCGCTAATAACCAATATTACGATGTTGAATTATTATACGTATGAACGTTATGTCTAAATTCAAATATAAATACAATAAATTTTTGAAAGATTTTAATATTTGAAGCCATAAATTCAAAATGAACAAACTTTCAATTTCAATAGAAAAGACATTTACAAAGAAATGGGTACAAGAAATGAGACAAGTTATACACATTGTCTCTTTCTTGACTGATCCGTCTGTGTCAAAATTTGTGAGTCAAAAAAAATTTGTTTGTAAAATATTTGATTTCGAAAAAAATAAATACACATTCTTATTAAGTTTAGAATCCAAATTAATATGTTATTGAAACTTCATATTTGGTAAATAGTTAAACTTGGTAGGTCTTGATAATTAATTTTTAACTTCTTTGATTATGACCATTCGATTTTAATCTAATGGCTTACGTAAGAAGTACTAACTTAAGGATATGGTGTGAAGCTTCCATGATCGCGCTACTATATATATATATATATATATATATATATATATATATATATATATATATATATATATATATATATATATATATATATATATATAAAACAGGACAAACTTCAATAAATCTATTCAACAGTCTCAAATAGAGTCATTCAACAACCACTAATATCTTTTTCAAAACCATTCAAATTGAATTCTCCCCTCCCCAAATCTATCACTTCTCACTTATATTGCATCATACCTTCAGGCATGGGTTACCCCTAGTGTACACACACACACACACACATATATATATATTAACAAATATATATGTTATCAAATTTAATCTAATGTAAAATCAAAATTTCTTAATTTTAATTATCAAATTTCAAATTTCCAAAAACTTTGAAACATCCTTAAAAAAATAGAGAAGATTTATTATGGGTTTTAATTTTCTTAAATTTTAGGTGTTTGTTTTATTAAAACTCCTATATACATATATAAGGGCAAAAAAAAAAATTACAAAAAATTAAATTGTGTACTTGGATACAATTAAGTTCAAAAAATAAGGACTTAATGACCCAACATTGAAAAAAAAAAATATGATCCAACATTAAGAGTTGTGTACTTTTTGACAATTAAGTTTAGTTTTGTATACTTTTTTACAATTAACCCTAAATTAATCTACATGAGCAAAGTCATTCATGAGACAAACTCAATTATTTTTACATGATAATATATATGTAATTTGTGCATAGTATAAATCTTGAGCTTTTGACCAAACCAGGGTTTTTTTTTTTAAAACTTATATCCAAAAGAGAGTCGTTTTCAAACTAATTCTTAAATTCAGATAGTTTTAAAAGATGTCAGTCCAATTGACCAATGTCATTCAATGACGTTTATGTTAAAAATGTCATTCCAATTGACGTCTTCAATAATTCCTTGTAATGTAACAAACATTGTTTGGACCAACATCTTTCTTGAAAACGTCATTAGGATTGACATTTGATTTATACGTTTAATTAAGATGCTAACCTTCCCTTTTAGGTCATTCCTTTCTCTCTATTTTTAATGTAAAAACGTTACTTGAACCAACATCTTTATCAAAAATATCAGTTGGACCGATGTTTAATGCTTTTAATTAAAATACCACCAATCCTTTTTCTTCTTTCTCTTCTTTCCTTTCCTTTCTCTCAAACATTACCAATAAGTTTGTAGTAAAATCCAATATATGGAGCATAGCCAAGACTACTAGCTATATCATCCATTTCAATGAGTGACATCAATTCACAATCGCAGTCATATATGCAATCTATTTAG